CCCCAAAACCCCAAAACCCCAAAACCCCTGAGTAACTTAGAATTATTGAAATAAGACCAAATGGTGTAAAATGTTGGTTACTACTTTCCCAATCTTGGATTCTTATTTGTTGGATTTCCTAGTCACCACGCTTGATCAGTACAAGTTATTACCCCAATTATCATTTGATAGTTTGAGAGTGTAGAAGTTAGGTGGTGATAGACTCACGTGATGCGAGTTTTTATTACCACTATCATCATCCTTCTCTTCCTCATCTTTGGAGCTGTTCTCCTTAGGATCTTCTTTGAAAATATTTGCTGGGATCTTGCCTTCAGGATAGTTTGGGTCAAGTTGAGAACTAAATATTTTTCATAATTTTTTGTGAATTCTTCTGGGTTGTCTCAACATGGCAATTTTCATCCTCCTTATATTTTTCCATTAGAAGTGAAACATACAATTTTAGTTCTCTCAAAGATTGAGAAATACTCACTACGTCAAGTTCATGCTTAAGTTCGCAGTGAACTTTTATCATTTTCTTCATCTCTTCTAGATTTGGGAGTTTTTCAATAGGAGTTTCTTCATCTTTATAAACAGAGCTCCTATCTAAAACATTATCGTAATTCTGAGCTCCAGATCTACCATTTTTAGTAACTGAAAAAGAGAAGAAACTTAATGGATCATCTTGAACTCTCCTCTTCTTTTGCTTCTGAGTATTGCCTTTAAGGCTTGATGGATACGAAAACCATCCTTCTTCATCCCTAGTTTGTTTTTCAATGTTTTTGATATCCCTTTTTAGGTAAAAACCTGAGAGCCTTCTTAATATCAGGGTAAATGCGAGATATAAGATCTCATAAACACCTCCTATTTGTCCGAAGACTTCTAGGAAGCTAATGACATTAGTATTATAAAAACGAATCCTATCTTGGACATCAAATATGAACACCCCGTCAGTCGCGTTAAATTTATTTTTACTTATAGCACTACTTCCGTATGTTAAGCTTAAGAACTCGCCGGAATTTTCTCCAGTGATAATAGAATGCCAATCCTCTATTTCGTACTGACTCCTTAATATATCAACTTGGTATAGAGAACTATCTCCCTTCGAAAGCTGCACAAAATGGTGATCATCGATCTCAGTCTTCACTGGATTCTGAGGATCTGATGCATCATAGTACTGATTGATTGCACTCATAAAAATTGTCGACTGATAGTCTCTGACTTCTGCAAACTTTGTTTGGTTGCAATTTCCATTGGGTCAGAGCACTCCATAAACTGCAAAGCTCAGACTCTCGCCTAGTGTATGGTGCTGATGCACAATCTTGAACATATCTTTGTTCTTGAATCAGTAGTACTTCTGTTGCTTCGACAGAGAGAAGTACTCATCAAGTCTCTCTTTGTCGAATGGAAACGTCGTAGAATTACACTTCTCAATTTCATATGAGATTATTGTGCGCGGAGTCTTTAGTATATTGTCTTCATCCAGCGAGGTGGTAAACGTATACAGTGCAAGTTGGCCAAGGCCTTCTCCAATAATATCGATGTCATGGTCGGTTCCACCCATCCAGCTGAATGCCAAGTATATCCCATCATCGTTGATGTTTGTACTGAGGGGATCTTTCAATGAAGTAGTTCCAGTAATTCCACTATTCGTCATAATCTTACTGCGATTAATCATCTTGGTAAACAAGTTAACTCCATAAAAAACACAAATGGCTGTTATTACAATCGAGACTATAGTTCCAGCCAGAGTAGGATACTTCTTCTTTTGATTATAATTAAGAGTGAATTTGTGGGAAAACATATCGATTCCCTTGAACTTGTCATAAGAAGATTTCCAAAAACCCATTTTATAATTTATACTTCATTTGGAATTATATAGTCTGGGGTTTTGGGGTTTTGGGGTTTTGGGGTTTTGGGG